TTCCTTCCTCTTCTAGCATGCCCACATCCCCCCCCCCACATCTTAGTGTCGTCTGCGAATTTGAACAGGTGCTTTTTACCCCCTCGTCCAAGTCGCTGATTAAGATGTTGAACAGTGCGGGCCTGAGGACCGAGCCCTGGGGGACCCCACTGCCCACATCCCTCCAGGTCGAAAATGACCCATCCACCACCACTCTCTGGGTGCGGCCCTTCAGCCAGTTGGCCACCCATTTGACTTTGTGGGTGTCGACACCATAGTCCCCCAGTTTTTTAATGAGAACAGGGTGAGAGACAGTGTCGAAGGCCTTCCGAAAGTCCAGGAAGACGATGTCCAGTGCTACCCCTGCATCTAAGGATTTGCTGACCTGGTCATAGAAGGCCACCAGGTTGGTCTAACAGGACCTGCCTCTAATGAACCCGTGTTGGTTGCCGCTAAGCATAATCTCCCCCGCTGGCCCCTCGTGGACATGTGCCAGAATAATTCTCTCAAAAAGCTTACCCAGGATCAAGGTAAAACTAACTGGCCTATAGTTTCCAAGGTCCTCCTTCCTCCCTTTTGAATGTATCCAGAGTAGGTGAATGTGCAGAGTAGGTGCTTGCACCACTTCTGCGGGGAGTCTGTTCCATATTCTGGAGACTCGGACAGTAAAGTAGTTCTTCCTTATGTCCAGTCTAAAATGGTCTTCTAGCGGTTTGTGACTGTTGGACCTTGTTTTCTCTGGGGGAGCCCTGGTGAACTGACGTTTTCCCAGATCCTGATGCACACCCCTGATACACTTATAGGCTGCCACCAAGCCCCCCTTGAGCCTACACTTTTCCAAGCTGAAGTGTCCTATGCCTCTCAGCCTGCTCTCTTGACCTCTGATCATGGATGTGGCTCTCCTGTGGACTCTCTCCAGCTTCTCCACATCCTTTTTAAAGTGGTTGCAGAATTGGATGCAGTACTCCAGCTGCGGCCTCACCAAAGCTGACTAGAGCAGGAGAATGACATTTTGGGTCTTGTTTGAGATGCGCTGGTAAAAGCCAAGGTTTTATTTGCTTTGCTGGTTTTGGCATTGTATTAGTGGCTCATATACATCTTATGGTCAATCGTAATCCCCAAGTCTCTTTCAGACATAGTGCTACTGAGTGAAACACTGCTGAGCCTATAGGTATGATGTGGGTTTTTCCTCCTGAGGTGGAGCACCTTGCATTTGTCTATGTTGAAGGTCATCAGGTTTGTATCTGCCCAACACGGCGGGCCCCACTTACCTCCCAGCTGTGTTTGGGGTCAAGGTCAGGGTCCGCTGCATCTGCTGGGGGTCCTGGGCTCGTGGCGGCACGACAGGCTTCCTCCAGCTGTGATGAGAGATGCAGGGACCCCAAAGCCAAATATGGAGTCAAAGGCCGATGTGGAGACTTGACTGAAATTGTGCTAAAACAGGTGTGTCCTGAAGGCAATGGCTGTGCACCGTGAAGGTGAAGGAGCTGCACAGTGTGCCAGAGAGGGTGATGATGATAGTGGGCCAGATGGTAGCCTGTGCTGGAGTCACTGATGTCATTGTTGGAGTTAGTCTGTGTAGTCGTGGGTGTGTCTGCACTTGGAACTGGTTTCAAAGAAACTAGTTACTAGAAAAGTGGTAGAAGGTTGGAATACGGAATGAGAACAGAGGTATAGCTGTGCAGGTCTAGAAAGGCAAAAGTAGACCTGTTTCACAGTGCCTTAATTGCTTCTGATCCTGTCTAAGGAGAGTGCCCCAAAACTAATATTGTGTTTGTAGAGATTCTAGTTGTAACTTCATTCTCTTTTAAAAGAAATAGGAAAACAGATTGCATGTTGTATCATAAATACATTGATGTAACTATAACAGCCTCGCTGGCTTGAAACTAAATATCTAACTTCTTCTCTCAATAGGTCATAGAATTGCCACTTACAAACCCAGAATTATTCCAGCGTGTGGGAATTATACCTCCAAAAGGTTGCTTGCTGTATGGTCCGCCAGGTTAGTATACGACTCCAGGCATCTCTTCTTCCAGTTAGAATTTCTGCTGATTCTAAAGACAGAACGAGCCATTGGGTATGGTTGTTGTGCAGTGCACTGCCATGCAGATATTAGCTTGCATACTGGAATCTGTATATCTGTTTCATTGGGTGTTCCGTCCAAGGTACTTGCCCTCCTAATAGTGCAACCTTCTGCCCAAGCTACTATGGCTAGACTGCTTCTGGTTCCCAAGCAGGCTCATATATTCTACTTGATACTGCACTGCACTTTCTAGAAACATCCTTGCCATCCATGAACCTGCAAGGCAGGCCTCTCAAGTTCTGTTCTCATTATAATAGTGTTGAAGTGTGCCCTTAGAAAACACCTGCTGTATTACATTAATGTCTTTGTACACTGGCAATATTGTCATCTGAAACTTTGGTAACTGGTTGATCTACCAGTTGAACAGCCTTAGTCTCTGTCTATCCATCCAGGTACAGGGAAAACACTCTTGGCAAGAGCGGTTGCTAGCCAGCTAGACTGCAATTTCTTAAAGGTAAAATAACAGTATTTATTTTAACTATGCTAAACTGAAACTCTTTGGAGTTCAGTCAGTTGCTCATAGTCCCTGCTTGTTTTCAACAGGTTGTGTCTAGTTCAATTGTAGATAAGTACATTGGTGAAAGCGCCCGACTGATAAGAGAAATGTTCAACTATGCCAGAGATCATCAGCCATGTATCATTTTCATGGATGAAATAGATGCTATTGGTAAGCCTAATGGGGCTAATGTTTCCTGTGAATATTTTAGTTAGCGCTGAAGCACTACTCTTTTTTTCCTCTCTTTTCTTAAAAGACAAATACAGACTTGATTGTTGAGAAGTGTCTCATTCCCCCCCCCCCCCCCCCCCCCCCCCCCC